CGCTATATTTGCGACGGTGACGGTGACGGTGCTATAAGAACCCCCTTTTGTTCATTTCTGCGGACGCTGGCGTCCGCAATTTCCTGATTGGCTGAGCCGTAATGCAACTTATTGGCTTTACAGAATGCAGGCATCAAGCAAATGAGTTTTTCTGGCATACGCTTTGGAAGCTCAAAACTACTCCAATCATGTAGCAACTTCACGTTAAACCCGAACTAGAACCAACAGTAACAGCTTGTTTAGCAGCCAGAGATGCTCAGGAGGTTTTCTATACTCGGATTTGTCCAAACACCGAGCGGCGATTCAAGGCGATTACGATTATTGCCAGACATCTGCAATGCCGTTATTCACAAGACTGCCTTTTCCGCAAAAACATATACCGTCGAGAAGGAACTTCTAACTGGTTTATAAAGAAGCTTTTGTAAAAACTATTCGTTGATCTTTTTGACAATAGTTTATAATTCTCCTTTCATTATTCGGGTCTCAAGCTGGCGACTGGTCTGTTCTTTGTGACCATTTTGTTTGATGAGGTAAGAACAAGGATTTTGTTCATTCACACGAAACTGATCATTGTTTGCCTTAGACTGCGAGCAGTAAGAAAAGAGAGACTGCTCGTAGTCTATGTTTGTCGTTTTTACTGCGGGAGCAAGAACAGTAAAGACGTTTTGTTTCGCTCGTTTACGATATCATTTGAAAAAAGCGTTTCGACTTGACAATTTTCGATAAACAAAGTAATTAAGTTCGGACCATGCTGAGATGCCCCACTACTTGTGATTGGTCATGTATTGACAGTTGACATTATCCGATAAGTTGAGAAAATGGTGGGCGGAATACAAAAACACCAGCTCTTATAGCACGCGCCTCCTTCCCTTTTCCCCGCCGTTTCGCGCTTTTCTCCCTCCCCCCTCCCCACCCACCTCTTTTTGCGTCTGCCACGCAGGCTAGACATTACACCATTTTATGTTTTTTTTGAGCAGCAGTATAAAAATTATCAAGAGCTTCTCTTTAGCCCGGGCTAAATCTATATATTATGCCAATATAGCAGTTGCTTGTTTCGGGTTTTAGGCTCCTGAAGTGGCTTTATAATTTGAATGCTTCATAGACTGTTGTTGGTGTTTGTTACAGTCTTGTTATGTATTCTGTGAGGTGCTGATAACTTAATAATGCAAAGTCACCCTTTGTAGATTTACATAAGTTTAGTTGACACATTTGTGTTCAAATTGTGTTTACAAGCGTGGAACACAGCCAATAGGCTCAAACGAATTCTTTTCAAGAGTTTTCTCTCGTAAGTGAATGTTAAGAAAAAGCTGTTGGTAATTCTTTATTCCAAGCTGATGTATTTCGGCTTATATAGTGAGAAAAACACCCTGAAGACGTTCTCAAGAAAGATTCCTAAAAGAGTTCAGGAAACACTCTAACTACTACAGTGACGACTAAAAATTTGCCTGCAACTAGTGACAGATCAACTCTATCAGGTGCAATCTTTACACTAAACACTGGCTAAATGAAATATTTGGCACTAAAAACCAAATCCCCTATGGAAATTCACCAAATTTTGTTCGGAAAATCCAACGCCTTCTTCTAAGTATCGGGGGTGTGGGTATTTTTCGAAAATACGGAAGTAATAGTAGTAGGTAAGTAAGTTAGTTAGTTAGTAATTTTGGGTAAGAACCAGTTTTTTCAGGCTGAGTTGTTCTAGAGGTTCCTTTCCGATAAAGCAGAAAATATTCTTGTATTATTTAAATGAAAGCTGTACAACAATTATACGGTCCATAAGTATTACATGTACTTTTCATGGAACTGTTATTAGCATTGAACATTTGGCTTTACTCAGTGCTGTTTTTTTTCCGTTTTGTTGGCTAGTTTTGCCGTTTAGTTAAAGGAAAGTTTTATCAAGTTAACTATTAAAAAAGTTAAGAGCCAATGTCTCTAACTTTCGAGAATCGGTTGACAGTCGTGAATTTTTGAATTTCTTCATATTTCGCCCAAATAATCTCTATAGTACACTAATATCAAAAAACACGTTAAAACTTGTAACTGCTTTTTATTTTTTCACGAATCAGGCAAAGTTTGATAAACTCTAAATCGGTGCTCTTTCGAGTATGAAATCAGCGAAAATTAAGCATTTTCTTCGCGCTCGTACATAAAAACGGAATGATATCTCTAGATGAAATCAAGTCACAAAACAGACACTCATTTTTACTTTATAATTCAGCAATTAACTTTAAATAAACCGTTTAAATGTGACTGTACCGGCCGCAAGAAGAAACACGGTTTCAGCACTTTTTAAAAATGGCAAATTTGACCTAACTTCACCATCGTAAAAACCCAGTTGGTACATGGAATTTCAATATGAAACAAAACTGTATTGAACCATATCCTTTGCTGTTGTTTGTGTTAAGATATTTCTGGCGGCATTCCAAATGCGCACCTTCGAGAGACCTAAACCTGAACGGTATTTTGACACCAGCAAAGCACGTGCAACAAGCAAGTTTCGACGCTTGGAATATTAATCCTTAGCAAACATAAGTTACTTCGACATTTAAACCCTAGTCAGAGTTGTAACGGTTTCAGATTACATTTCGGCGTTTATGCTCGGTTTAACATGATTCCTTTCAACTGATGTTTGCGATAACCATAATGAAGAGACACGAATACGCAGTTCAAATCACAGTTAATAGGGGGGAATATTGTCGAAATACTCGCTTGCTATAGTTTTAATCGTATTGAAACCTTAAAATCAGAAAAGTTATTTACTTACCTGAACTTAAATGCTAGACGGATTCACAGTACCGCTGACTAAATTCTGCATCACGGCAGAATCAAAGTTAAGTTTGTATATGTTTTCAATCTGTCAACACGAGAGAAGATGACATTCCGGAAGTGCGTGACGCGTAACGCACCGGAAAAGAAATTCCTGGTATAAGAGTTTTACGGTGCAAGTCTTTGTTGTATGTTCGTATAGCATCTCGCACATATTCAAACTTGGTTTGTGGCGCCTGTGGCCCCAGTAATGCTGAATTTATTGCGATCATAGAAGAGATGTCGTGAGTCACTTGGTAGGGGAATAACCAAACATCGACCCTACCATGTTAATGATACAAGTAAGGTTTTCTGCATTTACGTTAGGTGATCTTTGTTTGATCCACAAAAATTGGCGCATGACTGAAATAAGAGTTTTTCCACATTACCGCTAAATGTTTGGTTCCGGGTGGCGGTGCAACAAATCACGTGGTACCGTTCTAGATCAGCCTACTGGCTGCTCATAGAGGGGTCCATAAAGGCACATCGATTGATGACTCTGTATGGCCTGAAGAAAATAATATACGCAGACGTTTCGGCTGAGCGACGAAGGTGCAGCTTTTACACTCTTTTTTCGTTTCGAAAATAGACGAGCACGTGAGAGGTCTCAGGTGACTATGCTGACGTCATGAAAAGTCTACTTAGCTTGTTTGAGTTTAGGGCAGGAGGAAGAGATGGGTGGGTTGGTTGGCATTGGGTTCTCCATTAGGATCAACCCTAAACATACAATAATTCATGTCTTTATCACTACATTTAGAGCTAGCAGACTTTGTTTGATCCACAAAATTGGCACATGAAAATAAAAGTTTTTCCTCACCACCGCTAAATGTTTGGTTCCGGGTGGCGGAGCACAAATCACGTTGTAGCGTTCCAGAACAGCCTACTGGCTGCTCATTTAAAGGGGTCCGTAAGGGCACATTAATTGATGACTCTCTGCGCCCTGAAGAAAATTATATACGCAGACGTTTTCTGAGCGACAAAGTTGCTGCCTTTACACTTTTTTTTCTTTTCGAAAATGGCCACTAACTTCTCTCCTCGCTCCTCGCCGCTAGGCGGACGTTTTTGCCTGAGAGATACCACTACGAAGGAGTTTTAGCACGCAAGTCACTGCTGTTGCAGACCTAGGAAAAGGGCATTCTCCATCTGAAATTTAAATAGAAATGAAAGGCCATTTTGAGCCTTTTCTCTCTTTTCTCCGCAACGTATTTGGTTAAAAGATAGTAAGTAAAATGGCTGAGGCATTTTAAAGCATTTTTTCATTTACGCGACGGATTTTGGCGTTATGAAAAAAAACTTGTCAGTGAATTGGTTTATTTTCTAGCGTGCGAACAAGTGCCGGGGGCTGGTGGCGGACAGAGCCAGGCGACTGTTCCCTTTTTTAGACGGGAGCTAGCAGTACGCGCATTCTGGCCTAAGGCCATACTGTGTAAACTGGCCTTTAAGGGCCTCTGTTCGGGGGCTTGGGATCAGATCAGTACAATTCGTCAACAGCAGGTTGAGGTCTAGCCAGAAGATGCCCTTGCTGCAGAGGAGCAAAGCAATACCTTTCAGTAATTTAAACAAGTTAAATACTTGTATTTCGCTTATCAAATGTGTCCATTGTCCATTGTCGATTTGTGGTTTTTCAAGAACGTTCTTTTTGCGGAGCATTGGCCAATTTTCTTTAAACAGTTTTACTCATTTCCATTTCCCTGCTCTACCTTCACGTGGCATATGGCGTACGTGTGTACCTAAACCACTCAATTCATACAGAGGTGATCGATAGAGAAGTCTATACGCCAAGCGGGGTTAAGATTAGTTTATCACAAGCAAAGGCTCAGAAGGCTAAGTGCAAATAAAAGAAAACTAGTGTGAAAAGTTTTGCAGACTCGGCTTAGTAACTCTATTTGTTTTCTTTCTCTATTTGAGTTACGGCTGGTACATCCTAAAATCAAGTTTAGTTCCACACGTTTTGGAGGATATAAAATATAAACTAAAAAAAAAACAGTGTTAATAGGGTCCTTTCGAAATTATTGGACGCGCGCTCCTGAGAACTAGGTACTTGCATGTAAACGAGGCTTAGAGGACAGCTGGGAAAATAAAAAAATAGAAATGCATTCACTGTCTTCACTGTAAGTTGAAATGCTCCAAGTTTTGCAAAAGTCATGGTGAATTTTTGTTCGGTAGCAAACTGCTCGAACAGTTCAAGGAATCGTCCGGATCTATCCTTTTTCTGTTTTCCTTCAGGGCATTTTAGAACGCTATGGAAAAACTTCTGTAGACGTTGTGATCCCGAATTCCAAAATCAAAGAAACCCTCGGATTTGCAGCGCACACTTCGAGGCTTCATCCATCAAAAAGTCGCTTTGCGGAAGAAAAGAAGTTATTCCAGGTGAATTACCGAAATATTTTAATCCCTCGACCCACCAATGTCGTGTTTCTTCCCGTGAAAAGAGACTGGAGGACAGAAAGAGACGTGCTGTTGATGAAAAACGTCCTGAACCTCAAAAGAGAAGCCTTACCGAGGAAGACAAAGACATTTGTTTCTTAAGCGACGATGCAGCCCTTTTAGATCACAATTATTGCCACCTTCTTCCTAACGACAAAGGAACTCAAACGGACTTTCCTTACGAAGATCTAGAGGTTTTAACCAGTAAAATTGACGCTTTAAAACAAGAGAACGCCGAACTTAAATCAAAGTTATCAAACAAAAAACAATTGAAAAGAGAGCTCTTTGTGGATGATGTTTTGAAAGATGACGAGTCTGTCAAATTTTTTACAGGTATACCTAGCCTTGCTTGCTTTATGATGATATTTAATTTGCTCAAGCCGTTTGCAGAAAAACTTAAGTATTGGGACAAAAACAAAGAAAAAAAAAAAATAAGCTATCAAAAGATTCAAGTAAAAAAAAAGCCTGGAAAGCAAAGATTATTGACCATTATGGAGGAATTTATCTTAACTTTGGTGAGACTCAGACTTGGGCTTTTAAGCAGACATCTTACAGATATCTTTGGAGTATCAGAAGGATCAGTTAGCAAAGTTTTCACAACGTGGATTTGCTTTTTATCTACAGTTTTTCGTGACATTCTTCTTAAATGGCCTTGTAAGGAAGAAATTAAGAAAAAGTTGCCAAGTTCTTTTAATAAATTTCCAAGCACTCGAATAATAATAGATTGCACAGAGATATTTTTGCAAAAGCCAACATCCCCTAGTGCCCAGAGAGCTACATGGAGTAACTATAAACAGCACAATACCATGAAAGCACTGGTGGGAATCACTCCAACAGGTTACTTCTCCTTTGTTTCTAAACTATGGACTGGAAATGTTAGTGACAGATACATCACAGAAAGAAGTGGTCTACTGGACAAACTTGAAGAGGGGGATTCTGTTATGGCCGACAAGGGGTTCAACATCAGAGATCTGCTTACAAGAAAGAAAGTTGCACTTAATATCCCACCACTTTGCAAAGGTACCTTTCCAATAAAGGGAGCTAATGGGGTAGGGGTGGAAGAGGGTATGCTAAGATAAAAGAGAAGGTCTCCCTGGACAAAGTAAAAAAAAAAAAAACAAAAACAAAAACCAGATATAACAGCATCCATTACTTGTTGCTTGTAAAAAGGATCTTTCTAACTAAACAGAAGAAGTTTCTTAGGAATATTTTTTATATTATAGGGTTAAGTTGAACTGCTCAAAGATAAAGGTAGTCTCTACTAACTTCCAAACATGTCTACATAGCAGGGGTGGATCCAGAAAATTCAGAAAGAGCTGGTGTGAGGCAGTGGTTTGCCACTTCCACCCATCCAATAATTTAGTACAGGTTTTGTTTGGAAAAAAGGTTTCCAAAAAAGCAAGTACTTTACTATCAGTACCTTTTGAATTGGCATTTACTTCATTCAAAATCCTTTTTTCTCCTCTTACACAAGAAAGCAACTTTCAAAAAAGGCAGTAAAATCTACCCGTACCATTGCAAGTGTTCGGATCCACGTGCTATTGGACGTCTTAAGGACTTTAGAATTCTACAAGGGAACTTCCTTCTTCAAATGCTACCCACTGCAGACAATATTCTAAGTGTTTGTGCTGCTCTGTGTAATTTGCTACCACCACTGGCCAAATGACTGACGCATTTGTCCAGAGAGCAGAAAAGCAGACCTACTTAGTGTATGTAAATGGTAAATGAAACATGTATTA